AGATGAGAAAACAATGTTAGTGACATTGAAGTCAGTGGTATGCTTGCCATGAAGTTTGGCTAATCAAGATCATTACTCTGAGGTTGCTACTGAACTGCAGATGTGTGGTGATGCTTGATGTCTGTAATCCTTTCTGATTTCCCAGCTCTCTCTAGACTTTTCTGTCCTCTGTAGGGAACTCATTAAACCCTTGTATTATAGGGACTAGAATCACAGCCACTAGTGCAAGAAAATATCTTTGAGATCATATTTCCTGTGCCTTCTGGGGTCTGATATAATCTCCTGATAAGAATATACCAGACATTAACTAGATACTGCAGCTGGTCTTGTCTCTTACTAATTTAGTGGGATTTGGGCATGCAGACCAGAAGGGAAGAGAGCTTTTTTTCCTAAGTGCAGCAATGCATACTTATTTGGAACAATTCAATCTTATTCAAAACCAGCATTCCATGTCTGTCCCAACCTAACATTCAGCTGGGTGTTATAATAGCTATTGTTTGAGGCAAGCACAGAGCACCTGTAAAATTGAAGACGGTCATAATTTCTCAACTGAGAGATGAATAGGAGAAAGTTGTATTTTATAGTCATATACAGATTATGACATATAACATGTATAGCCTATTTTAAATATGTTACATAAATATTATAAATATTGATTAAATATTGTAAGTATTAATATACATGTGAAATGCAAAAATTGCATTTTAAATGTGGGAAAAGCAACCTCCAAATTTACAGGTTGGTTTTGTTTTGTTTTTTTTTTCTTTTAACAAAATGAAAAAAATGAAAAAAATGCTGTCTGTTTTTCACTAATGATTTTTGAGAAAGAAAGGTAGGGCAAAAACCAAGCCAACTTTGAAATACATGTAATAATTGAGGAAAATTAGAAAGCAGCAAGATCAAGAATAGCAGAAGTGTTAGGCGAGCTGATACTGTTTTTCATTCAGGATCTCAAATGCTTGAAGGCTACTTTTGGTAGATGTGGGGTTTTGTCCAAAGATGTTCAGTGTGTAAGTTAGGATCTGTGTTGATAAAAGGAAGTATCAAGCTAATTAACTGCACCATGATGTCAGTCTTTAGATGGAAGAAGTACTGTGAAAACACATTTCCAAAAAACCCCAATACTCCAGGTACAAGGATAACTTCCTTGAGGTGTTACTTTCATATGGCATTCAGTGGGGTAGCTTCAGAGTAAATGTGTCGCTTAGGGCCATAGCCACGAGGAACAGTTCCCTGTTCTCTACAGGGGACACAATGCTCATACCTGTGAAGCACCAATATCCACTGTTTCCATTTCCTCCTCAGCATCAAAGATGACAGTATATGTGCTTCTGACTTCCTGTAGGATCAAAAGGGAATTTCATTTATTCACTTGATTAGAGGCAAAGCAGGCTGTTCTCTATAAAAGGTTTCTCTTGTCTGTGTCACTCACAGTCATTTATTGAAATGTCATGACTGAGTGGAAATCAGCTATAACTGATGTTGCCCACTATGTTACTTTGGTAAGATAATAAAGATAATCAGTAAGGGGCAAAAGTCAGGAAAGGTGAGGACCTCCATTTCCTCTTGGCTTTGTGGGGCTTTTTTTAAACTGCCTTATAAAAGGGAGAAAAAAGGGATTGTGCCCTAAAAATCACTGGTATGAGGTTAGCAGATACTTCAGGTTTAGGTGAAAGCAGGTCTGAGTAGCAAGTCTTCTGTTTCAGTCCCAATTTGCAAACTCCCAGGTCCCTGCGGGCTCTGGTGGAGTCAGTCACACAGTTCCTGAAAAAACTGAACAGCCACAGAATTGGATCTTGGGTTACCATTTCATTCTAGAGGGGATTTGGTGGTGTCGTCAGTCCAGTAAGCTCAATTTTAATGCCATCACATTTTATTTGACACTAAACTAAAACAGCTGCTTGCAATTAGCACACATGAAAGAAACAATAACAAAACTGCAGCCTGCCCTTCCAGCACTACACATACTCAGTGTAAAGAGTTTACTAAGTTCTGGTGATTTTCCCTCCCTCTGCTCTAACTGAAACATCGAAAACAATTGATCTCACTGAAGACCAAATGAAAAAAATGTTTATCATTCCCTGAATGTTTCTGATTGGCAGCAGTGACTGGTTATTGGAAGATTTAGGCTGCTCCAGATGCAGGCATGAACAGGACTCTCGCTGCTGCAGAGCTGATCTAAGCATGAAGTTAAAGGGAGGCAATGGCTGTTGCTGCCCTGGGACAGGATGATGTAGAGAGCTGGTTTCTTACCAGGACTGGGATCCAGGGCAGCTGGCCCACCCTCCCATTGGGAACAGTGAATAAGGAGCTTGTAAAATACACAGACCAAATGGAAATGACCCCTACTGACTGAAACCAGCTGCATGTCAGACCTCTCACTGTCTCTCTTGATTTGCTGTCTCAAATAAATGGTTGTGGTAGAAGGGCTACAGAAAGAAAACAAAATAATTTATTCTCCTTGAAGTTGCACCATACTAGCAAGCCTCAGTTTTTACAGCTGAAAAAAAATGTTTATCCTCAGATTAAGTTTTTCCCTTTTTTTTTTTCTTTGAATGTCTGCAGTTTAGAAGACATACTGTAGTTCAGTTTCAGAAGTCTTTGACAAATAGACATGGTAGATTTTGTAAGGTATTGGTCACATAAAACTCCTAGCTAGTGAGAGCTTGGTTGTTTTGCATTTAGATTCAGAAAACAAAGTTACAACAGCTTTTGTTGGTGCTTGTCTTAGATGTGCATGGTGGCTCAGCTCCATGAAAAACATCTTAGTGAGTTTTGAAGAAACATGAAACAGAGAAAGATTGGACTTATTAATGCATTTTTCCCCTGTATTTTTCCTAATACACTCCTGGGTAACACCAGTTATTCTGAGCATTGTGAGGAGCTGCTTGAAGTAACCATGGTAGCACTTGAATTCGGGAACAGTTAAGGGCAACAGCTGCTCCAGTTCTCCATTTGATGCCCAGGATGGGTTACTGCTATTGATATTAGATTGCCCTCTGTTCTGACTTCAGAGGTAGAGAAGGAGGTACTTAACCTCAGTGGCACAGTCACCTTTGATCTCTAATTTTGAGAAGATCATCAGGATGGGACACATGCCATGCAGTTATGATTTGATAGACTTTTTAAAGGAAACTTCTTAAAAAACATCAGTCTAGACTTCATTCTTGCAAACTCACATACTGATGAGTTTTGCAAATATCTTTTTTTTTTTAAAGTATTGCTCAGCCAATTGATCATTAGTGAAAGAAGTCACCAAATTTAGATTAATAGATCTATTAGAGTGTCTCAGTAGAATGATCTTCATGAAGTCTGAAAAAGCACGTGGATACAAAAACTTGAGAATGACACTTTGAAGTGAATGTTACTTCTTTTGCCTTCCACAACCTTCTATTTTCCCTCTATTTTTCTTTTATTTTTTCCCCTTAAGAATTTGTTTCTTTCTCACTAACAGTAGTACAAACACAATACAGTAACAGCTTTGAACATAGAAGCCTTTACCTGTGGCATTGCAGTGTTGCAACAACCAGATGTTATTTCAATACAAAATAGACTGCAATCCCCATCTGTAGGTTCTGAGAGTCCTGGCAGCCACTCTTTTTTGCTTTAAAGACAGAACCAAAATTCAGTTCAGCCTGGCCATTGTCCCTCTGCTGGCATTTTTGGTCACATTGGCTTGTAGGATCTTCTGACAATCATCTGTGACCAATAGATAGATATTGCTAGGGGGAAAGGCTCACCTCTGTGCCTCCTACCTCTGCATTTTTTTACTGACTGTCCTATGGTGAAATCTCCTACAGATGAGTTCTCTGCTATTCATTCTGTCCTCTGGCTGGATATGAGGTAGTTGATGGGTTATTCGAATTGTGCTGGTTTGGCATGAAGTGATACCATGCACCTCCATCCTTTCTTTTTTATCTTAACATTTTCTGCTAATTACTTGCATTAGGGAGAGTAAATCAGTTTACTTCTTTGAAAATATAGGAGTTAAAGAGGTCTTGGGTGGCTGCCTGTAGATAATGTTCTATGTTGAGCAAGAAGCAGAACCATGGATGTGAAGGAGGTTTCTATGGGTTTGGAAGAAACTCTCCTCCTACCTGGCATCTGTGAGGCTCTTGTTGTAGGCCAATGATTTCAGTAGTCCAAGGGTCAGATGACACCAGCAAGGTGTCTGTATGGTGGTACAGCTCACAGCTTTGGGATGACCCTGTAATTGTGCTGAAAGGGAACATTTTTACTCTGTATTTCCGCAATATCCCTTGTACACAAAGGCCCTATGCTGCATTCCAAAATGTTTCAACCTTTCCCACTGGCCTTTAGTTGTGCTCAAGTAAAAGTGAACAAATCCCATTGATACTAAGGAAAGTTCTGCCCTGGTCAGATTCTAGGGCCCAATACAGTGACATGTGGTGTACAAAACAGAGAGAGGTTAGCAAAGGACAACACACATTTGAACTTTTCAGCAAAGAAGGAGGATCAGGTTGAGGCCATTCTCATTATTTTCCCATCTCTGTGATGAAAAAACAGGTTGGGTAATATACCAGAATTTGAAAAACACATCAATGCAATTTATTTTCTAATGAGTCTTTAAAGTAATATCTGAAGTAAAAACAAGAAGGGCATTTTGCTGCATCTATTTTAATCAGGCTTTCATTTTTAAAAGTTGTGAGAATACAAGCTTGTTGAAGGTAACTCTCCTGAGTTGGCCAAAGAGAGAGACAGCTATTTTTCCTCAGAAGCACAGTAGGAAATGTGTAACTGTTAAATTTCAATTCAGACATTTTAGTCTTTAAATATTTGCAGTGGAAAACTAGATTAGAGCTCAAGAATATGTTCTTTTTCAAACTGAAGTAAGATACCTTTTAGTAAGGGAACAGCAAGAGAAAAACTAAATTAATCTCTAAAAAACCACAAGACAGGGCACCATTTCTGTGGCAGCATTTCTGATTGGTCAGATCACCATGAATGAATGTTGAATTTTCTGCCTTGTTCTGTTCCAGAGATTGAAGGCAGCACTGACTCATCATCCTGCCGCCATGTCGAATGGGAATATGAACACCATGGGCCACATGATGGAAATGATGAGCTCGCGACAGGACCAGACACCACACCATCATATGCACTCACATCCTCATCAGCACCAGACACTGCCACCTCATCATTCATACCCACATCAGCACCAGCATCCGGCACACCATCCTCATCCTCAGCCTCATCACCAGCAGAACCATCCCCACCACCACTCCCACTCGCACCTTCACACACACCCGGCACACCACCAGACCTCACCGCACCCACCGCTGCACTCGGGCGGACAAGCACAGGTAGACCTTCGTGTCCTACTGCATCTCTGAGTTTTGCTGTTGGGTGGAGTTAAAGCCTGATCTCAGTATTGTTTCTTCTTGCATGCATGTCTTGTTAGACACAAGCCCCTTGGGCTGCTAGTAAATGTCTGCTAATGGTGATGGGGATGCTCAAACTTTATTTAGAAAATGGAGTGAAGCAACAACTTGTTTTGCTGCCTAATTTACTAGACATTTGTAATTTCTTACTTTATAAGGAGCTTCAAGGCTTTTCAGTGCTCTGAGCTCTGCAGATTGCCACACATCCTTTTATGGATGAAGTTTATTACAGAGATTGGCACATTATATATGTTGCTTAATGTGCTTGAACCTGAACTTCTCAGGCCAAGATTTAACAAGATGTATGAGTTTTACCTGCATAAATACATAACAAAGTCTCTAGTGAAATGAAATGGCACTGGTGCGTGTGTGTGGCCAGGGGCAGTATTCAAGACTGGAGATAATAGAGGTAGTTCTAAGTAAGGATACACTGGCTTGGAAAAGATTAAATGATCCAGACCCTGTGAAGAGGACAGACATCTGCATAGTATGAGAGAGATTAGCTGTGAGTGCAGCCAGTACTTGGTGCTTGTTGTGGCAGCAGAAGGAGCATGAAGCCAGTCCAAGGAGAGAGATTGAAACAAAGGCAATTTAAACTTGTATTCATGTGACAAGTCAGTGAAGGTCTCCACTGAATGAGATGGAGGACTCAATTTTTTGGACCAGGTATATTGGCTTCAGCAATTTGGATAATTTGTTATCTGAATTGAATGTTTCTTGAACTAATGAGCTAGTGAGCACAAACTTTAGTAGAATCATTTTTTAAGAGGAATTCTATTAATTCTTAGGATGATAGGCTTCTGCATCAGGATCACACAAGAAAATAAAGCTCTGGAGGCAGTTACTGTAACATGTCAGGTCTGGAGAGCAATGTTAAGGAAGACAAACAGGCAGTGCATGGAATGTGAGGACAAAGAGGAATGCCAGCCATAAGAAGTTCAATCTGTGAAGTACTGTGTTGCTTGCAAATACCTTTCAGACAAGCTCTTAGAAAACATTAAAGAAAATGAGACTATTTGGCTGGCATCCCAGTGTCCCACAACATTAACTATTTACTAACATCTAGCTTTATTACTGCAGAGTCTGCAAGCACATGGGATTTCCCTGAAGTATTTGCTAATGTAAAATGAATTGTCAGCTTTAGAGAAACAGTCTAAGTAAAGCAGCAGACTCCCCTGTGAGAGGATGTCCAGCGCTTTCCTAAGTTTACTTCAGTTTTTACTTTGTGAATTCAATTATTTTCCCATCTGTTAATGAGTTATTTTCCTTGGAGTTGTTTAAAAACTCCAATAAAAAGACATCATCTCATATCAGAGAAACCAAAAGTAACCTGATTGCTGTACTGGAGATCACTGACAGAGTAAGGATAAAGTTGTGCTTAGCCAATTGAGGACTCCATGGATGAGATGGCGGAAGCCACTTAACTTTCACTGAGGGGTTAAGAGGATAAACATGTTAATACAGTTGAGGGCATCAGATCCCATGGTATGGAGCACTGCTGCAACACATCCACAGCACCACTTTAAACAGATGAGGAGAAAACTACTGGGAAAAACAGCTACCATGGGGAAACAAACCTCACAGTTTTAAGGACAAGATCAGTGAGCCAATGGCCCTCCTCTAGACCCACTTGAGTAGGGACCTTGACTTTCTTACACAGTTAGGACAGCTTCAACTTTTTGTGCTTTGTATTCCCTGCTAGCTGGCACCCTAAAAGACTCTCAGGCAGGCAAGAAGAGATACAGGCACATGGGTAGGTGGAGTGACTGGCAGCCACACAACTGTGTCAGGGTCACTCTGTGTCCAGTACTACATGGTCTCTGGAGCTGGGTCTGTGCAGTCAGATGAGCTTTGCCATGCACAGTATGTTGCTAGAGGCAACAGACCCCATGGGAGATCAAGGAGATCTTCACCTTGTCCATGGGTGTAAGTGTCACCAAATGGATCAGACAGAGGGGTGATGGAGTAGGAATCCCAGGGTCAGTGGCTTCCCCAGGCAGCAGAGCTCTTGCTGTGCATCTGTTCCTTTGGTGCAAAGGCAATAGTGATTTCTGAACAGATGCATTGGAAGGGGGAAAAAAAGGGCTTGCTAAGTAATAACTACATATTTATTACTTTCAAAGCTCATCCATAGTCCCTATGGTAATGGCCTCTTTGGGGATCAGATTGCTCCAGCAGACGTTAATTTTATGGTGCGATTTTCTAATTATTAACCTCCTTATTCTTCTGAGCCAGATTCTTCCATTCCAAACCACCTGCCAAATGACAGCATGGTCCATGCTGCTGTAAGCTGCATACTCCCATGCCGAGACTCTTGTTATTCTGCACCGTGCCCTTCTGTAATTTTAGAATTAATTTCATGCTTTTCAGCTACCATTTTGATACACAGGAGCCCAAGGCATTATGTTTTCATAGAACGAGTGAATGGGTATTAGTATTGTGGTAAATTGCAAAGAACAGAAGTAAATATTGGATAAAAGTAGAAATCAGCTTCTGATAGGTATCTTTCTGAGAAAGAGAGATATTTTACTAAGTTCCAGCTATGCTGCCTCAACTACTACAAAAATTATACTGTTATTCTGCATTGGTCCTCTAAAGATTTCTTCATATCAAACTTGGTAGAGTGATAGCTCAAGCAGAGTTGGGGTTTGGATGCCATTTCATTCTCTTAGCTGTCCAATGTTTGTCTTCACGATGGATACCTGATTAGCATCCTCTAAGAACAACAAAAATTAACCTACATTTTTATATTTAGTTAATTTTCTTTCTTATGTCCTAGGCAGAGCAATGAAATCCTGCTAGAGAATGATTCTTAGATGGCTACTAAGATATAGTCTAACATATTCCAGGGTTAAGAGCTATCAAGTAAGAGTCAGTTAATTATCCCTCGTGACATTATTAGTGGAATAATGGCAGCCCTTATAATTAATAGCTTCCTGGGATGGAGAGAAGATTTTGTTGTTCTGAAAATGCACTCTGACTACCCAGAGACTCCCTGGTATATTCTGAAAACAAAATTACTCACTAGTTATTCAGGAGAAAATGACCACATAAGAGGAATTTTTAAAAAAAAAATTGTATCATTACCTTTTTTTGCCTTTTTACCAGACTTCACTGAGAGAGTTAAGAGACAAGAATTTTTAAAGCTGAATGGAAAAGGAGCAAAAAGGGATAAGGAAATATAAATAACAGATCTCTGAAGTCTGGAAAGGTGTTATGTATAGGAAAATGAAAGGTCTTTGATGAGACGTTGACATTATAAGGTACTTCTGAGACCTCTGCACTCAGACATAATGTTAAAGAGGCAGTATGCCTGGCCCTGGTGGACAGGGAGCAGCTGGAATCCCTTGGCAGCGGTCTCCTGGCAGAAGGCAGGGGATGCTGGTGAGAATGGGGGATGTGCCCACTGCAGCTGCCATGGACCTGGGACTCCAACCCTCAGTGTGGACAGCATGTTGAAGATTTTATCAGCAAACATATGGAGTTCATGCAAGCTGAAATTTTAAATCAGTCACAAAATGTGGGGTGGCTTATTTATTTTAGAAGGTTATTCCTAAAAAAAATTTTTTCTGCGCCTGCGAGAGAAATTCCCTGACAGTGCAACATAAAGCTGAGAATAAATTTGGCTTTATGCAAAAAGCGTTATCAGATGTACAGCATAATTACATATAAAATTGCCACTGTAATTGCCACAAGTCAGCTGGAGGAGGGAGCAAACTAGATTCTAGACAGAAAAGCCACCTCAACTTTGCAAGTCTCAAGACGATAGTATCGTTTTAATTGAGACAGACAGAGGTGTTAGGCAAACACGTTAATTGCAGCAATTGAAATTCAGGGCTCAGTCTGACAAAGCACTGAGTACATCCACTCCCTGGAGTCAAAAGGAAACACCTTGGAGGTTTGGGCTTTTGCCAGAGCAAGAGGGTTAATTTTGAGACAACAGTTCCAGTTTCCAGACTGTTCCAGACTGTGCAGGAGTGGCAGCAGCAATGTGAGCTGAGTGTGAGCAATAGGATCCGTGGACTGGGTTCCCAGACTTCAAGCAGAGGGAGAGAGAGGGTGTCTCCAAGAGCCCCAGAGCCTGGGTGCCATAGACAGGCAGGAAAGTAGTCCAAAAGCCTATTCCTAGGGAGCCAAACATTAAATCTGGTGCTGGTTCCTGACAGGGATGTGGGCATGTCCCATCTGCTCAGGAGTCAGCTGGAGAATAGTTTACATGGCACTGTCCCCACGATGTACCTTTTCTGTAATATTGTGGGCCAGTTACTCTCAGGAACAGGATCGATACTCCCTTGAAAAAGCATAAATACATACCTTTTCCATAGTTTTGTATCAATGGACTGGATGTGGTGTACCTATACTCTCAAAGACAGGGATAAATTAAATAGAAACAGGTATAGCGTCCACAGCACAGACGTCAAATGGAAACTGGTGAGAGGAATATCCCTTACCCACACAGTGCAGGGACATCAAAACATAGGTTGAAGTTCAAGTCATCAAAACACAGGTTCAACCTAAAGTCTTTCTTTGCCCTTGAGGGCCAGTGAGGTCTGCTGCCCTTGTGCGATCCCAGCCCACATCTTCCCAACTCCATGCAGGCACAAAGAGCTCTGCAGCTCCTGTCTCCAGAGATGGCAAAGACTGAGGTAGAGATAGTGAAGCTTGGGAAATATAAATGGCCTAAAATTTTAGGCAGCTGGGGGATAAGAGGAGAAAGAGAGACACAGAAATTAGACCACTACAGTCCTTTGCTTTGATTAAAACAGATCTTGAGAGAAACTGGACATTTCAGATTGAAATAGGTGGTGGCAGATAATGCATCTAAGTGAATGCTTTTAGGAACTAACTCAAGGGAGAAAAAATATTCAGACAATCATTTTTTAAAAATCTCTTCTTGACTATGGCAAGGATTTGCCAGCAGCTGCTTTCAGTGGCACCTGGTGCAGCTTTTGACTTGAGCCTGTCGCAGACCTTGCTGGCGAGCAGGCAGAGTGTGTGAGATTCCTCTTCCCAATTCAGCATCCCCCCCTGTAACTTCCCCCCCTTACCACCCCCTGCAAAATGCCTTCTCGCCCTGCAGGTTTCGCCGGCGGCACAGCAGATGCAGCCCACGCAGACGGTACAGCCACCACAGCCGACTGGAGGTCGCCGGAGGAGGGTGGTGGATGAAGACCCAGATGAGAGGAGGCGGAAATTTCTGGAAAGAAACCGAGCTGCTGCCACGCGCTGCAGACAGAAGAGGAAGGTCTGGGTGATGTCACTGGAAAAGAAAGCAGAAGAGCTCACCCAGACAAACATGCAGCTTCAGGTGCGAGCCACTGTCTGCGCCCCTGAAGACACAGAGGGGCTCTTTGTGCTTGACTGACGGTGCCTTTGGGGCTGCCCCCGCACAGTCAGCTCCTAGTGGGAGCTCAAGCACAATCAGTCTGTTAATCAAGATGTGTGTGCTTCAATTAAAGAAATAATTACATTTTAGCAGGATAAGCCAGGAAAAAGCTGTCTTGGGATTTAGAAGCCTTCACTACATGGAGTTGTATTTATTTTCTTTCCTTGTCACTATTTCTTGTGGGGATTTTTTTTTTGAAGTGCCATTAACATGTCTGTAAAAAATTTCTTCAGAGCAGGGCATGTAGTTAAACCCTCATTCAAAGCCAGTGAGATAGAAGCACAAATAGATCAGTCTATCAGTGAGGAAAATTAACTTAGATGAAAATACCATGAGTATGATAATAAAAGCCTTTCCTACAGCGCTGTCCTTCTTAAGGTAGGCACAGTACTTCTGCTTCATGCAGAGGTGTACCTGTGTGCTGCCAAGGGCAGAAAACCATTTGTAGAATGGCACTCCTCCAAAACATTCTCCCACAAAACTCAGAGGTGTGAGCAGCACCCAGGCGCTGGCTGCAGCTGAGCTGTAGGTGACAGCAGTCCTGCCTGCCACCGTGCCCCTGAGCACAGCAACATGGCCTTTGTCCCCACGGGTCTGCCCCCTGCCCTCATGCAGAGAGCCGCAATATTTCCCGAGGAGACTGAAACATTGCCTTAAGTATCTCTGGTGCTGTGAAGTTAGTTCATTTGTCAGACTGCCTTCAGAGGTTACAAAATAATGTCACTGACAAATGTTAACATAAACCCAGCACACAAGCTCCTGAATGCCTTATTTGCTCAGTTCATTCAAAGTTATGGAGCTGGTTTTATGTTCTTGGGTAGAAGCTTTGCAGAATAGCGTGGTTTAAGCTTTGTTGCTAACCAAAGTCTCTCTTTCCTCTCTAGAACGAGGTTTCCATGCTGAAAAATGAGGTAGCACAGCTGAAACAGTTATTGTTAACACATAAAGACTGTCCGATAACAGCTATGCAGAAAGAATCACAAGGATATCTAAGTAAGTAGCTGGTATGTTTGCGCTGTCTCCACACTCCTCGCAGGAAAGCAAACCTTCCAATTCTTCCCTCCAGAACCCTTTCTTGGTCATAGTATCACTTGAACCTGTCTTCTCAAACATCATCTGAACCATCCAATCTCCTGCCCTTATTTATCCAGCCCCGCTCAAAACCAAAAAAGCCCCGGTTTGCATTCCACACAGCAGAGCTAGTCTTCCCCACCCCTCCTTTCGGCAAGGCACACGGATGGACGCTCACTCCCCTGTGGAGGATCCTGCTTGAACTCACAGCTCCAAACCTGCAAGAGTCCTCCTGGGCACGGCGCTGCTAGAACCTTAAAATAACTCTCAAAAGGAAAGTTAAAAAGGAAAACATTACAGTCCCCTCCAGCGAAAATGGTACTGTGCTCTGACAGTGGCACAGACCAGGCCTGGCGCAGGTTTTCAAGGTTTGTTAACTCTTTTTTAACTCTAATCTTTCTTTCTTTTTTTTTTTCTTTTTTTTTTTTTCCGCAAAAAATTCTCAGCTAATGGAGACACTTAATCAATTCTTTCTAGTTGACACATTTTGTGAGTGTAGTAATTTAGCGACAAATTCTCTGTTTCGTTCTAGAACAGTTCAGAAGAGCCTCAGGGCTTGCTAGATTGTGACACTGTCTTAAAATAGAGCCCGTTTCTGTCTCCTCTGCATCACTATGCATCTGTCTCTTTAACAGTGCTCAAAGAAAAAAACACATAATTGCATTACACGCCTATCAGCTGTTGCTTGAATTAGATTTTCTGTGCTGCAGTGCACTGCACTCTAATTTTCATTCTTGCTGGAACAAATAAAGCATTTAAGCATCCCAACTGATTTTAAAGACCTTAAGATATCAGACTTTTTATCCCAGCATTAGTTTCAGTTATTAAGGTCTTGGACTTTTTTCAAGACTCAACTCCTGAAGTCAGGTTGATACCAGAGAAGCTAGCTTGAAAAAATAAAAAAAAAAAAGAAAACTAAAACAATTTTAAGATAGAGAGTGTTGGCTGACTGTAATTATATTTTGAAATTCTGGGGCTTGTGAATGCTTCAGGTCATCAGTATTTCCAACAGTATCACCCAGCCTAGGTTTTTTACTCAGATGGAAAATGAATGTGTGTTGTCTCTGTGCCCTTATTCCCTTCCCAGGTCCCGAGAGCAGTCCTCCTGCAAGCCCGGTCCCAGCTTGTTCTCAGCAGCAAGTCATCCAGCACAACACCATAACGACCTCTTCTTCTGTCAGTGACGTCGTGGGAAGCTCCACTCTCACCCAGCTTGCCAGCCACAGAACAGACATCAACCCCATCCTTTGAAAGTGGTTGATCAGAAACTGCTGGGGGAGTGTGGTACCGTATCAAAGCGTCCTCTCTGCTAAGGACATTTGCAACCGTAACTCAAGCCTGGAAGATTCCTCAGTTCTTGAAAGACTCTGGCTATTCATTTTTATAGTTATTAAAATGTCTTTTATACTTAGTTACATAAAAGGGAGTTACGCAATTAATATTCTATCAGCTTGAGAAATGCTTTGGTGCTTTCTCCATTTTTTTGGTACCAGTTACTTGTTTATAAACCTAACTGTTTCTGTACATAGTCATGTTTCCTTCTCACCAGTCTAGCCTGCAGCCTCAGAAATGCAAAGTTGTGTTAAACTGCAGCTTGTTAGCCAATGTGAGGCATGAAAAGTATTAAACAGAGTCAAACATAGGTAACTAGGAGTAATTAGGCTATAAATATAGACCGAGGGCATCTGCTGACAGCATAATAAAAAAGAGTTAGCGTTGTGCTATCAGCAGACCGCGTCTCGCATTCAGAGCCTCTTTCAGAGCAGTTATATAGGATGTGGCTTCAGGACAAAATCAAGCCCAAATAGCGTGCTCTTTTGTCTAGCCCTCCCCCTTCTCCTCTTTCCCCTACCCTGGCCTTTTTCTCCTCCAGTTATTCTCACACCTTCCTTTTCCCTTCCCTTTTCATTTTCCAGCTGGTTTTTTCCTTGCTTTTTTTTTTGCCTTTTTTTTTTTTCTCATTTCAAGGCTTTCTCGCTTCCCTCTCTTTCTCAAAGAATGGTAATGAACAAGAAAAACTTCAAGCCCACCTAAAAACTGTCAGCACGGCTGCTGCTTTCACTAGCTCTTCACCCGCAGTTGGACTGCGCCAAGCATTTGGCTTTTAAAAAATACAAATGCTCCTGATTTAGTGTTTTTAATAAATAGGGAAAGGTGAAAACAGCGCACCGCAGGTGAAGCAGGATGGTGAGCCAGCTGTGTTGATGCTAGCAGCCCTATATCTTTCTGTGGTGCAGTAGAGGCATAGTGAGCAACACCTGAGAGTCACAGCAATTTTTTGCACTGCCAGTCATTAATGTAGGAAAATCCATGTAGTATATAGTAATTCAGAAAAGTTCTGTTCCCTAACCTGGTTGCATTGTTCTAGCAACGAAAGCTAAGAGCCTCAGGCTTCATGGGCTATAAATGGGAAATAAATCAGTGTAATGGTTCTGACCAGTTGGAAAAATGCCATTTTTAATTCCCAGGGAAAGACCTGCTCTCTGCAGGCATTCCTTTAAATGTTCACGGACTGATCCCAAGCTGGCAGACAGCAGTGTAGCTTCACTGACTTTAATGGCACTTCACACCCGCTTACCACGGGTAAGGAATCGTTCTTTAGGACGCGAAATAATTTTTAGAAGGCATGCAGCAGCGAAAAAATGCTGCAAGAATGCCAAATCCCACACTTGGGATAAAATACAGTCCTACAGAGAGGGTCTGGAAAAGAGCCTTATGCTACAATTAAGGTTTTTGTTTGGACTCTGAGCCTGCCCCTCAGCACAACTGATTTGCATCCCCGAGTGGTCCCAGTGATTGATGGGAAAATCAGACAGAGATGATGCCAGTTAATTATGCTGCCTTGCTGTATACTGGGACCTGATTTTGCTCTCAAATCTGTCAGAGGCAAAACCTCCCGCTGCTCACCCAGGGAGCAAGCTCCAAGCTGGTGAAAAATGTTCAAACATTTTAAGCTGCATCTTCAATAGCAAAATTCACATTATTCTCAGCAAATCCTCTAGCCCTGAACATACTTTGTTCTGAAGCAAAGCTCTCTTCCTCAAAGACTGTGTCTTTGGTCTTTGGAGGACTCGTGAGTTTTAAAAGGGTGGGTCTTCTCCATGCGGGAGGGAGAGTGAAACAACTGAAGTGTGAGGAGGCTCTGTAAGGAGCAGGGCCTGTCTGGAAGGGAAAGTGAATTTCTGAGCATCATTCACTGCTGAATTAGTTCTTATCTTGGTGACTAACTTTTTATCAGTATCCTTTTCTTTAACAGCTCGCTTTCCATTTATGCAAATACATTCACAAGAAGAAGATTTTTAATGTACAGTGTAAATCTTGACTTGATTATATAGTCTAAGAACCAAAAAAAAAAATTATGAAAAAATACAAATGTAAAGGATTTTCTATTATATTTTAGACAAACATATACTTTTAAAGTGTTTTAAATACTGAATCTATAATTTTTTTTAATCTCCAGTTGTAATAGCTAAATGGTTTTGCTTCATCATGGCTCCCAAGAGAACTTTTTTCAAATACGCAGTAGAGAAAAATGTTCCAGCTGAGTATCCACTATGTAAAAAACCCAAATAAGCATTTCCCCCACATCTGAATTTCATCATTCACTATCAAAAAAGGAAATGCCATTGCAGGGTTAATTTAAAAAACTATACCTCTACATGGGTAGCACTTAAATACATTAAAAAATAAAAATCAAAGTTGTTGGTAATATTAGAACACCCAGTTGAGCTACATTGCACTAGAATTACGGTTTAGCTTCATTTTATTCAGTCTCCTCAATTAAAATATTTAGTTGTTAAAATGAAAGCCTCTACATTAAAAAGAAAAAAAAAAGGAAAAAATACAAAAACCTTGCCTAAGTTTTGTTAAATTCAGCAACTTGACAGTTTGACTGATGTGTATTATATATAGCTCAATTATTTCTTTTTTTAATGCTAACTAGGCAAGCCAACCACACATGTTGGCCTAAATGTGTAATTACAATGAAATGTCTCCTCTCTATACTATTGGCCTTTAGGTATAATCCTTGCTAGTGATGTGGAAATAAGTAAAGGATGAAAAGCTATTTGCTATTGCTTCTTGTAACTCTGCCGCAGGTTCACAGGCCAAGACAACATGCAGCATTTTTATATCGGCTGTATCATTGGGAAAAGGACCAACCATACCAGGCACCTTATATTATTCATCAGATTTGCTTCCACATTAAAATGCTCTTGTTTTCCAGGGCAGTGATCCTGCAGCCTTTCCTCAAGCTGCTGGTCCAACCACGCACTGGAGGCTACCTGAGCAAGGGCTGTGGGAGAAGCCCCAGCCCTCTGTCTCCAGGATGTCCCTCTGCAATGTGGTCAGTGGCAGCAGCCTTCTCCTAAGCATGTCACTCTAAATGCACTTCCTGCGCGCTTTCCATCAAGGAGGAATCCTGCCTTTCCACGAGCTACTTCTGGAGACTGCTCCACTCTCCTCTTGCCCTGCCAGTCCAGCCTGTTGCCGGGCTCACCAGGCTCTGTGCCCTATCCCACTGCCAGCGAAGGACAACTCAGACCACTTCCATCATCCACTCTCTAGGGCACTTGCAGGGATGCCGAGCCTTGGCCAGTGCCTTGTTCAGGAGGAGGTGTTACCATACCATAGACAGCATCTTGTGGGTGTGACATTGGAAGCAGGTTGGAAATCTCAGCCACAGAGAACTGCAATACTTTGATCAGAAAGAAACGATACTGCGATCCAGCTCTGGCACCCCCAGCCCTCTTTCCCCAAATCAATTTATGCAAGCCATATTCATAACGCTGCCTGTGGGAGACAAGTCGTTTGTGTGCTATCCTGGTGTGTTTTATAAGGACAACAATGATGATGATGATTTATGGAGAATTTCATGCTGTTGGGAGTTAATTCCTGCTATGAAGCTAAATGTCTGCTGCCCATATTCTGAATAGTGGAAAGTCAATGGTTCAGTGCCTCAGTGCGTGTGGATTTAGTGTTAATGACTCAGTCCTGTTAACTAACAAGCCAGCTGTAACTGTTGTTAAATGCCCAACTTTTGAGGATTCATATTTTTTTAAGCAACAATATTTAGTGTTGAAAACTAGCCTTTTAGTTTAGGCAAAATGTGCTTTTTAGCAGCTAATACCTTTTTTAAAAAAAAGCGTATAGAGTGAATTTATGAAAATTCATGAGGACCAAAGCAATTTTAAAACAGGAATCTATTAATTTAGTATTCACATAGAATTTTATAAAGTATTTATTAATAAATGTTATTTTAACACATTCCATTTGAACAGTATTCTTGTACAGAATCTGTTTGTTGTTTTTTTTTAAAGTTACAATATTAGTTTTGCAATAAACTACTCTAGGTGTGTGTGCATCTTAATCTTTCAGGGTCTCAAGCAGAAGTCATCCATCTAAGATGGAACAGTTTGCTGAGGTCAGTTGTACAGAAATTCCTAGAATTAAATGTTTTCCTTAAAGCAGCATCTGCTTTTTTTTTCTGTTTGTTTGTTTGGGGTTTTTTTTGTAACAATGAAACAAATTATAAACCTTCAGTTGTTTCCTTTGCATTGCAAAATGTGCTTTCTCATTTTAGAAAGCATGAGTCAGCGTTTAACTGGAAAGCCTGTCTCTTTTTTTCTGCTTTTTTTTTTTTTTTTTTAGGGCTGATTTTATACATCACCACAGAAGATCTAACCCCATCCTCATTTCTTGTCTAATATCACACAGTGAGTTGCACTATACTGCCTTATCATTGCCTCTTCAGTCCTCTTACAAAGCAGTGTTCCTTAGATTTAGATCATCGAAGCTCCATTATACATCAGAGAAAATTCCTAGAGGGGGAAGAAGAGAAAAAAATTGATCTGTAGACATAAAACCTAAACTGTGCCTATAAAACAAAACCAGTTACAACTAATTAGTATCTTATTTCTACATTTCAATTATTTATATTCTTTTAAAATTGCACTTTAGCTCTTGCTCTCTTTCTTGCTCTCCCTTGTTGAATCATTTATAAATACTCTTGTAAAAGTTTTGCACCAGATACATTTATATGCTTTCACTGGTGGCATAGCTACAACTTGTCTCTCACACCTGCCCAAGCGAAGAAGCTGAGACCAGCCAGTCTGCAGTGTGACTTAGACTTTACACCCTCTTCATGACAGCATATAAATGTTTTATTATGCAATGTGTGTGATGTGAGGCAGCATCTAAGCTACATTTATAATCTCTCATCCCAAGAACCAAAGTGTCCTGTATATCGTAAGGTCAGGAGACTGGCTCTGTTGTGCATTGTGAGGCACTTTGACTGTTGTCCAACTCACAGTAGCTGCAAAGCTGCAGTGGTAACAGTGGCCATATTATGTATTAGAGTTCTGAATCAATAAAATATGTTGCCTTATAACTTGACTAGGGACAGCACCTTTAAAAAGAAAAAAGAAGAAGAGACAAAAAACTTTTAAGAACAAATAAAAGCAATAAAATCTCAAGCAATTTGAACACCAAAAAAAAAGGTTCAATTTTTCAACATCTGAAACCATCACCTTACTGCATAGACAAAAGAGACTGTTTACATCCATAACCTCTTTTTGTTTTTTTTTTTTTCCAGAGCTTACAGTTATCTCAGTTTTATCAGTGGCTTTACACTTAAGAGCTAAATTGCTCACCATTATTGGTTTTCCATAGCTTTCAAAATGACTTTATAGCAAATCCTAAACTGCATGAGGCCAAAAATGTCAGTGTTCACACACACTCAGAGACAAGATTGATTCTTTAAGTGGAAATCTGATCCTTTCCCAGGCTCTCCTTGGACTGGAATCAATAACTGCAACTCGTTATATTTAGACCAATGTGTAATACCTGGGATTCAGGATCTCCAGTTCTACATTTATGCAAGTTAAATGTTAGTACTGCTGAGTTTCACGTGGTGGAACTGTTCACAAAGCTCATGGTCAGAGCCTGCTATCTGATGCCGTGAGGGTCTTAGACCCAAATATCTATCTTGACTGAAAATCTGCATGACAGCCTTCTGAATGAAGACTGAAAGCTCCTTCCAGCTTTGCAGAAACTGCAGCAGTGTCCTGGGGTGAGGGAGGTAGGAGGATTGATTGGGCATTTCAAGGGAAATGCTTTCTTGGCTGGAATCTAGGAAATTTCAGATAAATATTTTTCCCACCCCACTGAGAGCTGACATTGCAAGGAGTTCCCTGACAGAGATCACCTTTAGCATGCTTCCACAAGACAAACTACTTTGCATGAAAGGTGTATTTGCTCTTCTGAGTAAGAACAACTGCCACTGAGAGTTTTGCCAAGGATTTTATCATTGGGACCCAAGTGTTTCCCAGCCCATGGCCGTGAGCTCTGTATCCCTCTCTCTGTAGCAGCTCTCTTCAAGCACTGGGTAGCACTCATCAGTGAACATTGCTTCTTTGGACTATTGCCATTATCCTGGTTTTAAGGAACTTTTAGCACTGCTTGGAGTAAGCCTAAACTATCGAAGTTTATATATAAATATATATATATATATATATAATATTAAAAAGGTGCTGTCACAGTAAGTTTTGGGCTTGAGGTTGTTTGTATTGTATGCAAAGGTTTTGTGTTTGTATGTCTGTTTTATCCTGTAAAGCAACCACCTTCCTTACTGGAGGGAGATACTTTTTTTTGGTACATAAATGTAAATACTTGCTGCAGCATTTAATATGTTTAATTTTATGTTAAGCTTTTTGTTGCATTGTGAATCCATTATTGTTACAAATGGACAATGAGTTCATTGAGACTGTTCAACTAGGTCAGATTTTTACATCTCTTTCTAGCTAGAAGAGAAAGGATTTTTGTGCATTTGTACAAATGTTAATAATATCACTGCAATTCCAATATAATAAAGCACTCAAATACAAATAATTCCAATAGTTTGTCTGTATCTATACTCCAGACATTCTACCATACGTGTAAGTCCTACAATTAAACCAAGCTATTCTTCACTGATTTCTATTATGACCTACAACCTCTCATCTCCCTCCAAACTGGAGGAGGACCACAGTTCAGGGCATGCTCCTGTCTGGTGGCAGGAGCAAGGAAGGCACTGTGCAGAACCATTGTTCTCCGGCAGCTGAGGTGACTTGGTAAGAACAAGTTCTCTGAACTTCTTCCAAGCAGGGAGGCTGCAAAGCCACAAACAAAAAGACTTACGTGGTGGAGCCTGACATGAGGCCTCTGCATAAGGATGAGACAAGCTGTTACTTTACTTTTCCTTGCAGCTGGAGTGTGCTTGTATCAAAATACACTCCATGCTTGTTATCCCGCCAACATCTCTTCTTGCCAAAAGCTGCCTGGAAATGGATTTCCTGCTGGGCTAATTAGCTCTAATTGTGATGCCCCTGTTATCTTGCCAACCTCATTTCTCACTATAAATTGGTCCAATACAGACCTTGGCACAATAACGTGCAAACTGTAATCTAAAGTTAGATGGGATGAACCCATCTCTCCAGTGGGAATTAGATTAGCTGTAGATTAATGCAACTTGATGTCTTGCTGGCAGTCCCAGAGCGAGGGCCTGACCCAAGCGGTGCAGCCACGGTGACAAGGACCAGCCTGCCTGCAAGCACTCTGTGCTGGTGTCACACTGCAGGATATCGGCCCCCCGCGGTGTGACCGTGCTGCTCCCTTGGGGGCCCTGGCACAGGCACAGCCTCTGCTGCTCTCCCCCCTGGTTTTTAAAAGGCTAAATCAGGCCAAGAGCATTCACCCTCCTAAAATGGGTAGGAAAAAGGCAGAGCCATGCCCCCATTCCCATCCTCCCGTTGTAAAATCTGGAAGATGGGGCAGTGGGTGCACATGGCTCCCTCTTTAAGGGGATACAGCAGACATTTTCCCCAAACATCAAGGCATGGCATTAGCTGGATCCTTTTCTGAGGTCATATACTCCTCCACTGCCTTTAAAGCAGGGATGTCATGCCACTGCTTAACATGTATTTATAAAGCAGTGCTCTTGCTCTGGCGCCAAATACTGAAAGAGGTTCATCATATCTGTAAAAATAGGTATCTCTCATGAAGACATATCACAGGATAACTTTATTGTCCACACAGTTATATTTACACCTGACAGTATGAGCTAAGCACGATGTATTCAGGCTGAGGTAACACTGCCCTTTACAGCTGATTCATGGTTTCCCAAACCTGATCGTAGTATTTGTTCCTCTTCCAAGAGTCCACTGTTACTATTGCTCTCTCCAGGCTGCTCTGGACATCATAACAAAGTTATTATTAGCAAGAAAATGAATCAGTGGGAGCACACACTCTTCTCCTTTGCAGGGATGCAGCCAGAACTAGACTAAGCTGAGGATGCTCTGCATCAGCAAGAAGGTTGCCCCAAGTTACACTGGTCAGAGCAGTGGTACAGAGAGACTCCTTCCCTCTGCCACACCAGCCTCTTATGCTTTGGCTGGACCCACTTAGCTCCTCGACATGTCCCAGCTTTTTCCTGAACCCAGGCTGCAGTCTACTTGCTATAATGGCATTCAAAACGAATGGCAATACAGCACAGAGTTCAAGTTGGGATGATAAGCAAGCACAGAGAACACCATAGGTACCCAAGGGCATAGGCAAAAATCAAGGCAGAGTAACAGAGCAACAACAGCAATTTGGAGAAAGCAAACACCCCCCCAACAAAAAGAGTGTGGAGCTAGGAGAGGGTAGTGAACCTCTATAAGCCCAGATGTAAACAGACACAAGAACTGAGAAATTGAACTGGTGCTAGAGAAACCCTTCAGCAGGAGGATGGAAAAACATGGCAGACACGAGTGCTTTTTTGTTAAAAAAGTTTACAAATGGGGGATAGAGGGAACACTGTATCTGCAAGGATGCAAAGCTCTTCACTATCACAGTGACTCTCAGCATGAAAGAGACAAAGCATGTCTGACCTCCTTTTGGAGAATCTCCCCAGATGCAGCCCTTGGGGACAGGCTCAGAAATTATGTGGTTGGTTAGGTCCCCTCATTAGCAACCCTTTCTACCCACAGCTCTAGCAAAGGCTTGCAGGACACACCTACCTCTCAGCTTTCCCTGCCCACTTGGAGTCACTGTCTAGCTGGAGGCAGGCAATGGATGTTTTCTTCTCCACAATAGCTACTGGCTGCTGAGGGCCCACTACAAGAGACTCCAGCTCTGGGTCTAACCTCAGAATTAATTTCTTTACACTTTACTTTACTCACAGGCATTGTGGGCTTACACACAGGGAATGGGCACAAGATAAATCACAAAAATTTATTGAGAACTTTTTTCTAGGGAGTCAAAAAATTAATCAAGTATCAGAAAGGAGGGATCAAAGTTCTACCAGGACCACCACTACCATTTAGGTCAGAGCCAACAACGGATGGTCTGGGACTATTTTCTCAATTCTTTAGTCGGCTTTGTTATTGCAATTGCCCTAACTTTTTTTTCTTTTCTTTTTTTTTCTTTTTTTTTTTGCCTCTGAGCTGCTGTGCAGCAACAGGGACATTTGTTTTAGTGGCTCTAAGAAGGGCATTAGCACTGCCATGCGCTTAAAGCTCTCTTTCTGCAGCATTCTTGAGCAGTATTTTTCCTCTAGCCTCTATTCTCCAGCAATACAATGCCACAGTATGAGCATGACCCAGCGAAGCTGATAAAATATTTAAGACACGTGTTCTGATTGTGTTAGGTAAGAAAATACCACCAGAGTCTGACCATTAGTGAACCTGATCAGTCCACTCCCCCAGGAATCAGTCCATTCCTGCCAGCAGTGCAAGCCAGAGCAGTCTGAACTAGAAGCAGTGAGGCAGCTGCCTTTCCCAAAAGAGAGGGAAGCTTGAAAGTGTATTTTGCAGAGACGAGGAATTTGCAACCTGTGGGTCTTGCTCTAAAAGCAAGAAAAAGAGACATGTAGGTATAGAGATAAGCAGACATACATTCTATAGATATATATAGACGATACAGATATACACATGCAGACAGCAGAGATGTGTGCCTGTGTGTATACAGCAGGTCAGCAGGTGTTTTCACAGGGCATTACATTCAGCTGACAGCAAGTCAACTTAAAAGAAAGAAAAATATTTGACATAACTGGCCAGTTCATGTAGGAAATTGAGTCGAGAAAAAATAAATAAAGGCAGAAAGGGATTAGTTTAAATTTGGGGCCCTCTGGATTATAATGGATCCCATAGGAAGACAGGAGGCTTTGTATGGAAGGACTCTATATCCTCCTTGCGCTTTCCCTTTTGTTTCACTAATCATTTTCATTCTGTGTTATATGGTGGTTGAGCCAATTCCAGCTTAGTAGAAGTTTTTCTTAGCTTCAAGAAGCTGAGCTACAAAGACAACACGTAGCCATGGACAAGAAAAATTAACTGTCCACAGTGGGACATGGCTGTAGACTCCGGTTACGCTGGATTGTGTAGGGTATCACAACACCAGCCATTGTTTTGACTTGGGTTTTTTGTTGTTGGCATTTTGCTGTGGCTGCTCCCTGTACTTTGATCTATACATTAAATTGTCAGAAAGTTTTAAAGTCAGGCAGTTTTAACAAGCTGGATGAGGAGGATGAGGAAGGGGTAGTTTTGTTACCAGTGTCCTTCTGCAATGGTGGCTGCCTTTAGAGGCAAGGTTTTATTGTTCAGCTGGAGTAAGGGCAACCTGCACTGACTGACTCCCCCTTGAGTGCCTAATTCCTGTAATCCTAAATTCATCCCCTAGAATAGCTGAGGGAATATCAGCCCTTTGTTAAGCTGCTTCTGCTACCTCTTTGTGGTAATACTGTGTGGCATGAGGCGAATGGCCTGGGGGGACACCCACAGCCCCACAGTTCCACAGCAACACAATGTGGTAGCATCCTGGCAGCAAGGTTTGCAGGGCTCCCACAGTACTGACACACTTGACACTGGCACTGCAGGTGACTCCTGCCACTACACTGCAGAAGCTGAGCTAAACCAATTCCCTGCCATGAGTCTGACCATGCCTCAAGCTAATCTGACTGACTAAAACTAGGGAAAAATGCAGTGGAAAATTATTTATCATGTTGCCAGTGTAGCTAACTGGTGCAGCAAACCATGCAGCTCACAGTGTGCAGAGCCTGGTGAGGGCAGGAAGGACAGTGGGCAGGTGGCTGGGCAGGGAGTGAGCAGAGAATGGAAAGATGGCCAGAATGTTTGTGAGTTGCTGCATGGTGAAGCTGTACTCCTAGGCTGTGCCCAGGGTACCAGAAACTCAAGTGAGATGGTGTCTTCATCTTGTGCCATTAGTGGCAGTGGTTCTGCCCTGTTGTTCCTGTGAGGTTTCCATACTGACCCATCATCAAGGCTTTACCCAGAGCTGTCCTCCCCCTCCAAAGCCCATGAAGTCAAAAGTAGCTTTAAAACATGACCTGCTCGCTGCCTTCAAAGAGTTAGCAATACTCACTCTGCAGAGACTACTAATTACTAAGCTACAGATTACAATGTGCTTTTAAATTATTTTTACAGTGGATCTCCAGAGCAAAACTCACATTTTTCATTGATTAGAAAGACCTTTATGCGTATCTCCATGAAGGCAATTTCCTCTGTCATGTTATGCCTCATGTCACTCCAGGAGAATTGGACAAAGATCCTTTTTAGCAGCAGCAAAAAGAGGTACCATCTTGATCTGCCCACAAAAACATGTCTGCTTTTCTTTCAAGCCCATGCTGAGCAAACAGAGCATGCACGGCTGAACCCTCGCAAGAGACAGTGCCACAGAAGGAAGCACGACACCCACAGCCCTGGCACTCACAGCTTGTTTCTGGGATGGGATGAGAAAGGCCTGTTTTTCCCAGTTGGAAAATAAGACCCTTTGGCTTGCTGAAGCCACACAAGTCAGGAACACAGCAGTCCCTTTTCCAGGAAAACTCTACTTCTAATGCAGTA